ACAGAAAGGTAAAATCTCTAGCAGGTGCACACCTGGAAAGCAGTTGGATGTAAAAGGAGGCAGAATTTAATTCCTAGCTTTAATAGAGTAAACCCTGCTTTATTTCTTCATTTATTCACTTAAGCCTTTTGCAAATATTTGCATTTTCTTTATCCTAAATACTGATACCATATGCTTTAATTTTTTTGTTCTGTTTTACTTCAGCTTAGGTCCAGATGTCTTCAAGTTCCTCTGATAAGAAGATATTCTTTACTGAAGGACAGCAAACATATGAGATGATGTTTTGAATCTATGAAATGTCCAGGTCCCCAGTACTTCCCTGACATGAGCTGCAAGATGCAGATGGCCAAGCTGATATTCCTGGACAAGAAGAGGGAGATGTATCTTCCATTGCTCGGCAAGAAGTTTTTCCAGCAAGTAGAAGGACTCAGGAGAGCACTTGAACCCCAGGAGCCCTGCAGAATTTGTCTGCCTCTCTGTTTGTGTGTCACTGATAAACACACAGGCTCACAGCCACACATCTGGTTGAGGAATAGTCCATACCACTTAAAGTCCAAGCACAGTATTCCAAAATCACTTCTGAGCTACCTTAGGCAGTGACAAAACGACCTGTGACAGCAGCCAGAACAAGATGTGATTATTACTGAAAACTCCCCCTAATCCCAATTTTGTTCCTTTGCCACAGCACTCACCAGAATATTTCATCATGACCTTTAGTCCTCCTCGAGCTACCCAAGCAACAAATCCCACTTCCCCTTGGCAGAGTCACAGACAGCCTGAATGGGCAGAGATGATGAGAATTTCTTCCACTTGAGGTACCTGGGCTCTTAAATGTCCCTGACACACTTCCACTAGTTCAGCTCACTTGAGGGAGTATAACAATCCTGGCAGACAGGGTGACTCCAACCAGGGCACCACAAGTTCAGGTTTAACAAGACTTGTGCAGTCATCATACAAAACAGTTCATGGAGATATTCGGCTGAGGCTGGGGAATGTGCACAGAGATTTTAGTCAGGGGAGAGCAGCATAGAACAGCTTGAAGTGGTGTTTGCAGGCAAAACAAATCCAAGTGAGGAAGCAGAGAAAGAGGCAGAAGTTGCTTGTGAAGTTAGCAGAGAACCACTTCACACCGAGTTCATCCCAAAACTGAGGTGCATTTTCAGAGCAGTTACCATGACTTTTCACTTTGCAGTTTTGTTTTTTGTGTAAAAGACTTTATGTTCTCTCTTGTTACACTCTAAAGTCCAGAGACTAAGGTGGCCCCCTAAGCATTGGTTTTAGGTGTTTTGAATTCACTGGAGTCAAAAGCATGGGTACTCTGTAGCTGATGTTTCAGGAAGATTGCCTTTGAGGGATTCTACCTCCTATGCAAATATTTTTAGTTATGTAGAAGTAAAATTTGGAGTCTAGGTGTTCTTATACTGGGTTAAGACCACACTTGTAAAAAGGAAGAAAGTAAACAAGATTCTCTTTTCCATTCTGTAGGCAAGGAATCCAAGAAATATACGCTACATTCTATTACATTACTTGTTTCCCAAGAATCTGTTTGCCAGGAATTTCTCACTTTTATCACCCATGTAAGTCCAAATACAAGTAAATTGGTCAGAAAAATACACATTTATTTCCTCAGCTTTTACTATTCAGAGTGGTGTGGTTAGACCAGGTAACCTAAAACATTGGCAGGAACACTCTTTGCCACAAGTATTGAATCATTAAAACCAAAAATCATGGAGAGACTCTCTAACTAGTCAAAGTTAGAAAGTGGTATGTTTATTACGCTGGCGGGTGGCACAGGAGGGGTCATTCCCGAAATGCGTGACCGCACTGTATAAGGATTTTTGCCTTCTATTTATTTTCAAAAATAATACAAATGCACAACCCCAGCACCTCCCATCCCTGCTTTGTATTAAAATGAGGTTATTAGTCCTTCATGCATGCACAATTCTTCTCTTGAATTGGGTCCGGTGGTCTTGAATTGGATCAGTGGTCCCAGGGATGAAGTCAAGAAAGTCTTCGACAGGTCTCTGTGACCCTCTGGCATGATCCAAGTTCCCCTGTTTCACGATGGATTGACACAGAGTCCAGGTGCTGGGAATTGTTCTGATGGCTTCAGTATGTTCCTATAATGGTTTGCTTGCTCCACTTCCTTCTACAAATGAGCTCATAATATAACAATTTGCTTTAGCTTAAGCATCTAATAATGAATAACCTATCCTTGGTGTATCTAAGCTCAATATGAATTGGTTCTAATCCTCAGCTAAAATCTTAACCCTTGATCATGATTCAGTATAGTGTAGAAATAAACAGGAAAGGATGGATTCAGGACCACTCCCAGAAGATTAGGAAGTGATTGGATGCTGCATGCCCACCACACCTACATCACCTTAAGGGATACTGCTACCACAGGAGGAAAAATTGTCCAAGCCTGTGAGATGAAAAGGTGAAAACAGTGACATAGCTGTGTACAAATGAGAAAGTGAAAATTGTGTCTTCCTACACTGCAAGGAGATCTTACATGTTAGCAGTAGAGCCCACAGGAGAGTTTCAGCTGAAACACACTTATGTATGGCAGATATACTGCAAATATTAATAATTTCTAACGGCTTCTCAAAAATAAGTCAGTATAGACTGTTTCAACGTTACCCCTGTTGCATGTAATACCAGGAGACTAGTGAAAAAAAAATATTTACATAAAAACATATTTCGCTTTCAGAACTAACTGTTCTTTAACTTGGAACTGGTAAATATTCACCAGTAGGAAAAAACCACTAAAATTTCATTTTCAAAGTGGCAAAAACTGTGATTCAAAAGTTACAGTATCATATAGGGAAAAAGGAAAGGTATGGAAAGATATAAGAAAGGAAAGATATATCAGGCCTGTACATTGAGCTATGTTATTTACAAATTATTTTTAAGGGGAAAGAAGTAATTTTTAGAAAAAAAATCTTAATCTAAAACCATATACCACAGTTTTAAGGATTTTTCTTTCCTAAAAATTAACAACCTTTTCTGTTAATTTTTAAACAAATTTATTTTTGGCCCAAACACTAAAGTGTAATGTCCGTTATTTACCTTGTGATGTTTGTAACTGACATTAAATTCTACCAGTACCACAGAAAATTGGGGAAGAGTCATGCTGCCAGACACAAGCACATTTCTTTTTAAGTTTCAGTGTCCTTAATACACAGCTAAGGGTAACTTTTCATTCTCAGCCACAGAGTACTGTGGAAAAGTCAATGTAACCATAAGTATGCTGCAGGTGTGACTAAAGATTCCAATGGACAATCCACTTTTCAGCCACCTGCTTCCTCATCCCTAGTAGGGCACAGGGCTAGTATTCATGTGTTTCTCATGAATAACACAGAGATGACTCAGAGTGATTACAAAGGAAGTCTTCAAAATGAGGCTTTGCTTGATGAAGCACCACATAGACAGACATATGGGAAATAAGGGCCATGAAACATGAAGAAAGATATCCCTTCTTTTCTGAACTCCTGTCTTCTCCTCTTTGCCTATTCATTAGAAATTGTGTCATAATTCAGTTGCTGGGATAATTTTTGTGAAGGTTGTTATCCTGTGTTTAAAGAAAGACAAATCCCATCCCAATAAGGTGGATCATTCAAAATTCAGGTTCTGTTTTAAGCTATTTAAGATGAATTGGGAAGATGTTTTCTAAGTAGTGGGTTTCAATTTTTCTGAGAAAGCCAGCACACAGAGATGACAGAGCATCTTTAAAACAATCAGTCCAAAAAACTACTCCAGAATGTGATCAGACCAACAGTCCTTCTGTCAGCATGTCACCCACAGGGCAGCAACTGAAGTGACAGGGCTGGGATCCTCACAAGGGGACCTGGAAGGAGGGCAAGAGAAGGCAGTGTCAGCTGGAACTTGAGACAAGCTGGATGTAAGGAGAACATCCACTGCGTGTGTGGGATAAGGTTCTGCCATATCACCAAATATACTCACATGAGCCCTCATTGTTAAATGAGGTAAAGACATTTTAAAAAAGGCATGAACTAAATGAGATGAAATGTCCATTTTTTTCCTGCTATGAAAACTGTTTCTAGTTCAAGAGAGAATTTAAAATAAAAAGAACAAGTGACACTAAGAACACATCATTGCATGACCACCTTTATTAGTTTACATTGAAAAGACTTGGCTGCAGGAGGGATTTTTGCGTTGTAACTCTCCCCTGATTGGAGGGGGAAAAAAAAAAAAAAAGAAAAAAAAAAAGAAATTTTTACTGAGGAAAGAAAAATGCAAAACCTCTTGGTGAAAACACCAGTGTGAGCTCACCATAACTGTAGGCAATTAATCCCTCACGTAAAGCAATACCCTTCCAGGGGGCAGGATTTCAGCTCTCGTGAAAATGCTGACAAAATTGTTGCCCCTTCCTGTTGCTGCTTCTATCTTCAAAGAATGAAAAATGTGCCAAATCTGCTGAAGACAGGCTGAGACAGTTGGCAGGAAAAGCAGCAAAACCAATGTAAATTTTCTCCTTTTCACCTTTTTCCCTTCTCCCATTTGACCTGTCTGCTTTGAAGTGGGGAACTCTAAAACCTCAATTTAAATACTGAAGCTATTCAATCTAACATATTTTTCCTCCCTTCAGCCATGGAGAAGTGAGAGTGATTTCACCTCCACTGAACAAAGAGCAAGACTTTCTGACGGGATTCCTCAATTTGGACCTTTCTGAAAGCTCCTGCGCTTGCCTTACTGGTTAGGGGTTGTGCTGCAAAGCATAGGCAGAAGGATGATTGCAGCCAGAGAAAGAGGAGGTTTGCCCCTGGCCCTGCCGTGCGGAGCCGGGCCGGCCCCGGGAGCCGCCCCGCCCGCGCTGTGCCCGCAGCCCCGGCTCTGCCGCGCTCGTCCCCGCCAAGTCCGGCCCGCGCCGGGGCCGCGCTGGGCACGAGCGCAGCGCCCCCCTCAGGCCGCGCGCCGCCGGCGCAGCCGCGGCCGTTGCGCTGCGGGCGTTGCGGCCACAGGCGGCGATCGGAGCCATGGCGGAGCTGCCGCTGCCCGCCGGGCTCAGCGCCAGCACCTTCCCCGCCAAGCTGTGGCGCCTGCTGAACAGCCCCCGCGTCCGCTCCGTGCGCTGGGACAGCCGGGCCCAGGGGCTGCTCATCGACCGCTGCCTCTTCGAGCGGGAGCTGCTCAGCCCGGGCCACGCCCCCGGGGGCGGTGGCGATGGGGCGGGGCCGGTGCCGCGCACCTTCCGGGCCACGCGGTTCCGCAGCTTCGTGCGGCAGCTCTACCGCTACGGCTTCCGCAAGGTGCCGGGCTGGCTTGGCGCGGCTGCGCCGGGCGATGCCGGGGGCTGGCTGCACTACAGCAACCCCTGCTTTCGCCGCGACCGCCCCGACCTCCTGCTCCGCATCAGGCGCCGGAGCGCGGCCGACAGGCAGCAGCCGGCGGCGGGCCAGGAGGGCCGCAGGCGCCCGCCCTGCGGCTCCCAGCAGCTCCCCGGGGCGCGGCCGCTGCCGGACGGGCGGCACGGGCGCAGTCGCTTCCAGCCGCTGCCCCGGGAGCGGCCGCCGCTGCCGCCCGGGCGCCCGCCCAGCGGCTTCCTCCTGCTGCAGCGGGAGCGGACGCTGCCGGACGGGCGGGAGCTGCGCAGCCCCCGGCCCGGCCGCCTCCAGCAGCGCCCCGGGGAGCGGCCGCTGCTCGCCCGGCGCCCGCCCTGCGGCTTCCACCTGCTGCACAGGGACCGGCCGCTGCCGGCCCGGCGGGAGGGGCCAAGCCGCTTCCAGGAGCTCTACGGGGGGCAGCTGCCTGGCGTCGACTGGGAGGTGCTCAGGCTCCAGCCCTGCAGCTTCCAGCAGCTCCACAGGGAGCAGCAGCCCCCGGCCTATGACCCACGAGGTAGGAAAAGAGTTGTAGACTTGCTTTTCCAAAAGGTCATGAAAAGTGACTGTTTGAAGTATTTTTCCACGAGGCTCTGTCATTTTTGGTCAGAAGTTGTAAAGCCTCCTAGGAAGAGGCACCTAAGGGGCCAAAAGATTCTCTGCCTGGTTTTCCTGTGTACTTCCTGTGATGTTTGATGTAGAGCACGCATAGAGCTCCGTGTCCCAGAGCCACATTGTTGAGTGTGACCAGTGTGTTTGGATTCTTGCAGCCACCCTGGGCACTTCAGCGCCCAGCGCTCCACCTGACAGTGCAGGTTGGGCAGCATCGATGACCTCCAGCTCAACCCAGAATGCACCTGAGGAAGAGGGATGGACACCAGCAGATCCGGCCTTGCAGTAGAGGAAATGATTCGGGAGATCAGGAGGTCCCTGTCTGAAAGATCTCCCTCTGCTCAGGTAACTCCATTGGATGGGAAACAAAGGGGCTGGACTGAGAGCTTTTGATCATTGTTACATGGCTGAGAAGCAAAGGTTCTTTAATTGAACTTATTTCATTATTACTTAGTTATTTAATTATTCTTGTAAAGAAAGATTTCTAGAAGAAGAGGAAATGAAAAAGCCTCCCCCCCTTAGTGAGGATGAGCGTTCTGAGCCTGTGTTGGCCAAGTTTGAGTGCTCCTTTTCCTGGGAAGAATCCTTCCTACAGGGGCATTTGTGGTGATGGTTTGCAAGTTCTTTGTTTGATGGGAAGGAAGAGAAGAGTGTTTTGAGAATTGCCACTGAAGGCCAAGTGTCCCGTGCAAGGAGGGGCATGTGAGAGGTGCCTGTTCCAGCAGCAGATGTGGGCTGTGCCTCTTTTGGGTGGGAAGGCCAAGGCAGAGCAAGGGCTGGGCTGCAGCTGCTGCTGCTGTGTGAGCCCTGCCGTGCGTGTGGGTGCTCCCAGAGCCATGTGTGGGGCTGGGCTGGAGCTGCAGCTCTCTGTTCTTTTGCAGATTATTATACATGTTGGCCAAAGAATGTCTCTCTTTCTATTCATGTGCTGCAACATCCATTTGTCAGCTGCGATGGGGGTATTGTGATTTGTGCTACCCAAAGCCATGAGCAGATGGAAATGCTGGAAATCTCCGGCCATGGCCCACCTGCACTCAGGTTGGGCACTGGAAGCGCAGATTTGGGATGGCAGCAGAGCCACACGTTGGCTCAGAACTTGCTGCAGAGGCCTGCTGAGAAAACTCCAGGACTCCACTGAGAGCAGAATTCCAAGCAGGAGCCACCCTGGCAGGAGAAATCATTCACAATGAAAAAGAGAGAGAAAATGTGGAAAAACAGATGTGGGGATACTCTGTGAATGATAAAGTGCTCTGAATCACCACTGCCTAGGCACATCTTCTGCAAAAGTATTTTGTTAAAAACTGAACACCTCCCATCAAAGACAGATTGCACTTTCCCCTTCACTTACCTTGCTCTGTAGGTGAACACACTCTCTCCATACCACTGAGAATTTTTGCCTTTCAGCACCTCACATGAAATCAAAGATTATGTACTACCCCTTGGCACCATCAATGGAAACAGCCCTGCCCTTGTGACAGTGTTTGCAAAGTCTTCCCTCCTCCTGTCCCCACATCTCACAGACAGAGCTCAGGAGGGTGCAAGAGCACCACAGGTGGGAAGGTTTTGCAAAGCTTCCTAAGCACCAGTAAACTCTGGGTTTGCCAGTCTTTCCCTGGAATATTGTCCTACTCAAGAATGATCTTGGAGGACACTGTGCCTCCAGCTCACTGGAGTAAAGTTTGAGTGATTTTTACAGTGAAATTTGGGGTTTGGTGCAGCCGGGTTTGCTCCATTTTTTTGCTGTGGAAAGTAGGCTAAAAGCTTTAAATTCCCAGCAGAAGCTGACTACCAGCCCACACAGACCTGAATGAGGCCCAGGTGTGCTTGCTGCACACTGGTCCAAGGGAAAAGCTGGAACAAAATCCCCTTTTCTTGCAGATGGAGCCTGTCTGTACTGTTGTCTCCAGGGCTGTCTGTGTAAGACACGGCAGTCCAGCCAGAAACTGTGGATATCAGAGTTCCAACAGGAACCTGCTTCTCCAGGGTGAGGGACGAGGCCAGCCCGAAACCTGGAAGGTGCTCTGGGTACTGCAGAAGGCCAGGCTGTCCTTGTGCAGGGGTGGCCTTCAAAGGGGACCTCACACCTTGTGCTGCTGATGAAGGGCAGCTGGTGGCCTTCCACAAAATGCTTCTTTTGTCCAGCTCTTGGAAACGTTCCAGCCAGCAACAATTCCTGCTGCTCACACCAGCCCTTTCCAAGCAGGAGGAATTTGTGTAAGCAGCCTGACAGCTTAGTGGCAGGAGAATAAAATACTCAGCTGTGTGTTACCAGCTTTCTGTCATAAGCCACATCCTCAACCCCTCATCTCCTCCGTTGTCTCAGGCGTGGAGGAAGCAGCAGGAAATCTCTGATCCTGGAGGGGAAAGCAGAAGGAGGAGAGGCAGTGGCTGCTCCCTGGGACCTTGGGAGCAGTGTGAGCTGGTCACTCTTTATCTCCACAACCCAGCAGAGAGGTCCAAAATAGGACCTGTGCTGGGTTGTAGAGATAAGAGTGACCAGCCAGCAATGCTCTGTGTGAGACTGGAGCCATCTGTGAATATGGGCATGGAAATCTGACATTGCAAAACAGAGAAAAATGTGTCCTTTGGTATTTGCCAAAGCTTGGAGGGGCTCTGAGCCTCCTGTTCTAGTGGAAGGTGTCCCTGCCCATGGCAGAGGGGTTGGATCTAGAGGGTTTTTATGGTCTGTTCCAACTCAAGCCCCTCTGTGAGTCTGAATTACAAACCCACAATGACAAAGAGAACCTGGGTCCCACTACGTTATTGGAGGTTGCTGCAGTCACTTGTGTCACCTGGAGACTGGTTTGTATCTGAAAAATTAAATTAAATTCTAATTCCATCTTCACACAAGGGTATGTAATCTATCAGAAATATTTAACACGGAGCCATATTAGCTTTGGGCTTGATGGTATAGGTGTTTAAAGTGTGTGATGAATAATGGCAGCTCTAACAAATACCCCTCTTGTTAATTTGGGTCTGTCCTTTATCAACCCTGTTGCATAGAAATCATTTGTTACAGCAGAGACTAAATGAAATTCCTTAATACAGATGAGAATTGTGCAATTCAGGCTGATTAAAGTCTTCTGTTATTGTGAAAAGACAATCTAGATAGCCTGTTTGCTGTACATCCTGGAGGGTCTTTGCAGTTAAGAATGAAAAAGAAAATGACATTTCTCTTAAGAAGTCTTGAAAGTGCTTTTTGCATTACCAGAAGCAGCTACACTGATACTGACCTCCACAATTATAAATGCACAGCAACCACTTACATGACAATCTGGCCATGATTTTTAGCTGCAATTCCAAAATCTCATCAAATATGTTGCTATCCTTTAAACAAGGAAGGAGAGCAGAAATACCCACATTTCTCATCAGCCTTCTGGGTTGGAAAGACCATTTAATTTATGATCCCTTAGCTGTCAGCCTAAACTCTGCTGTGCAAACCTTAGGTCTATGTTGGACGTTATAAACTTCTTTAGCACCAACTTAGGTGCAAACCTGCTACAAAGGCCTTCAGGCATCATCCCACTGATTTAGAATGGCAAGACTTCACTGTTCAAGCACAGAATTTATTTTACTTGCTCCTGCAAGTAATTTCCACAGTGGAAGTGAAATCAGTGCCTTGCTGCAGATAGTGGTATTAAACATACAGAGATAAAAAGGCATAAAAGCTCATAAAAGCATATGGAACTGATGTAAACCTAATCAAAAGAGAAGCATTTTATTACAATAAACAGTGAGGATTGCAGAGCATGGAAAAGAAATTTGCAGGAAAAGAAGTTTCAGTGGAGGAACACTGGTTTTTAAGGTAGGACCAGCTCTTGAGGTTTGATTTGTTCCCTCTTTCAGATTACAAGGAAGTCATGGTGTTCCAGAGCAGAATCTAGTGCCAGAAGTTTGAGAACAGGGTGTGATAAGATCACCAGCGTATTTTATCTGCGCTTGGCAGAGTCCAAGCTCTATACTCTTTTTTTTCTTGCCCTCGGCGGAGTCCCTTTGTCCTTCCTTGGAGTTCTTCATATTGATGCTGTGTCTATTCTCTGTCCTGCGCTGGATAAAGCCTTGTCCAGGAACTGATGTGTATCTGCTCCTCTGTTCCTGGAATCCCGCATTCAGATGTATGTCCTTGATGGTCCTGTCTATCTGAGATTAACATCTTCATGGGTAGAAGCCCTGTTTTTACCAGAATTTTGATCTCTTGGTGTTTTGGACAAAGAAAATGTTGTAGATAAAAATTGATCCAGCCAATTTTAATAAAAATAAAAAGATAAAATTTATTCGCGACCGGTATACAGTCCCGACAGCCAACAATCAAGGGCAGCACCGACCCTGGGATTGAAGCTGGGTGAACTCAGATCCGGCCTCTGTCGCACCGAATCCCCCACAGTTCACAAATGCCGCTTGGCAGAGTCCAAGCTCTATACTCTTTTTTTTCTTGCCCTCGGCGGAGTCCCTTTGTCCTTCCTTGGAGTTCTTCATATTCATGCTGTGTCTATTCTCTGTCCTGCGCTGGACAGAGCCTTGTCCAGGAACTTACGTGTATCTGCTCCTCGGTTCCCGGAATCCCGTATTCAGATGTATGTCCTTGATGGCCCTGTTTATCTGAGATGAACATCTTCATGGGCCATCATCACTGGGTGTTTTCTCGTTTATGCCAGCGAGAACGACCATCTCCTGTGCAGGCTAGGTCCACTTCGTACGTTAATGACACACCTCCTCCTTGGCTGCCAGCTGTGGTTTTCGTCACCCTGTGAAGCAATCCCCTTCTCCCTTGCTGGTGTGATTTTAAGGCTTTATATGATGTTATTCGAACAATCATATTCTATCAGTACGAATTACCATCATATCCGTAACAGAAAACAACAAACCACCCGAAGTCTGCATTGAGGTGAGATGTATCACAGAGGGCTAAGAGCTCACCAAGGCAAGAGACCCTCCTGTAATTTAAACTGTTCTTTCAATAACAACAATCATTTCTCAGTACATGTTGATTTCAGCAAGCACCAGCACAGTAAGTCAGATTCACTTTTCTTGTTCTGGCCTTTCATATATCACTAAGGAAAGGTGAGGCTGTGTCATTCTCATCTGGATATTTCATTCTTCAGAAGTCAAAACTGAATTCAAGTTAGGTTCATTAACATTGACGTACTTCTAAAATCTTGTAGCCTTTTCTATTAGCCTGGAGATTTGAGTTCGTTCCTTGACAAGAAGAAAAGACTACATATGGGACTAATCCTTTTTTTGTAATTAAACAGTTTTTGTTATAGGTAAAAATGAAATATGCCCAATTCTAAAAAAAAAACAAAAAGAATTTATTCGCGTCTGTGATACAGTCCTGACAGCCAACAATCAAACTGACAGCGCAACACCCCTGGGATACAGGTTGGGTGAACGTGGATTTGGCCTCTATCATACCAAATCTCCCTTCGTCCACACTGGCTGTTCCGAGGGAACAGTTCTTATACTCTTTGCTCCACCCGTGGCAGAGTCCCTTTGTCTGTTTTTAGAGTTCTTCATGTTCAAGTTGGTTCTTTTCTTCAGTCTGAACTGCACAAAGCCTTCGTCCGGGAATTGATCAATGCTTCTCCCCAATTCCTGGAATCCTGTATTCAGGTGGTGGGTATTGATGGCCCTGGTTATCTCAGATGGGTATCTTTGCGGGCCATCATTTCTGGGAGTCTCTGGATACATGCCTCCGTGAACGACCATCTCCTGTGCAGCCCAGGTTTCCTTCCTATGTAAATGTCCTGGTATCTCCTTGCCAGTCTGCCACTGTTTCGCCTTCCTGAGAATGAATCCCTAGCCCCCACCTCTGTACAGCCAGTTTGGTTCATATACTTTATAGAAGCCTATATTTTATCTGCACGAATTATTAACTATATCCCCAACAGTTTTCAACAGAAAATGGGGAAGAAAGCCTTTGAACACTACTTGGAAGAAAGGTGGCTGCTGCAGGAAATACTTACCAGGACAAAAACGCATGAGCTGTCATTCATTATGTTGTTGTGTGTGCATGAAATACTGTTACTAAGCTTCTGTTTTCAAGACTATAAAACACACAGTACAATGGGAATTTAGTCTCCTTACCAGTACAACTTATGCTGGATTCTGAGAGCCCTGTTTAATTACTTTAATGCTTCGACCATTCCTGTGAATGTTCAAAAGCCATTAACCATAGCACTCAGTCTCTGGCAGACATTTGGTCTTGAAGGAAAACTTTTTACTGATTTTTTTTCCTACCTCTTTTAAAGCTCACTGGGTTCAGTTAATACAAAGAGCTAGAAAGCCAAAGCATGTGGGAAAGCACTATTTATTGTAGCAAACATCTGTGTTGTCAGAAAATGTCCTTTAGATAAAATCAGAATTTCCAAGGACCCTATCCACTCCCTCTCTCCCTTTCTCTTTCCTTTTCCTCTTTTTTTACCTTTCCCTTCCCCTTTCCCATTCCCTCTTCCCTCCTACTGTCTCTTCTTTTCACAGAGAGAGGTTTTTATAACCTGTCCCCTTCAAAGGGATTTACCACCCCTTCATTAACTCTGCCAGATGCTGTTTGAAGGTGTTCTCTCCGTTCTCTGAGGGGCATCTCTACACCATCCTGCCCCTGCAGATGCTCTTGCTTGGTGGCAGAGGCTGTCACAGCACTGCCAACAACAACCGTGCAGCCAGAGCTGCAGAATTTGTCACTGCTGGCCTGAAAGTGCCACCCCTGGATGGAAATATCAGGAGGAGCTCATGCTCTGCCTGCCAGTGCTGACAAATCCCTGGAATCCCTCCTGGTGCTCTGTGGCAGTACTGCCAGAGGAGGCAGAGGATGTGACACATCCTCAGGGACACCTCGGGCTGGCTCTGGGCAGCAGGACCTTCCCTTGGCCCATGCTCAGTTCTGCAGACAGCTATGGCCATGATCCTCAAACACTCCTTGCTTTTTGGGGCAAATCCCTTCAGCTCATTGAAGGCTCTGAAAGGAAAAGCAGATGGTGGGCAGTTCTTCAGACCATAGAACTAAAAATAAATTCTTTTGACCTAAGTAGCCTCCAACCACATATTTTGTGAAGGAATTACTTTCCCACACATGGTGCACTTTCCCTCTTTTACTGCTAACACAATCCCAGTGTTTGATGCAAACAGCCCCAGGATATTTTCATGAATAGCTCATCAAATAGCTCACAATCAACCTCTGGAGAAAAGCAAAGTGTGTTTTCTAATGTAACCAATTAGTTTGAGTTTTGAATGTTTTGCATTTGCACCTGAGGCCCTGTAAGCAATTTGAATTGTTGTCAGTAGGTGAGGTACTTCTGAACAAAGAAATCAGTTTTACATGACATTTCCTAATGGATAATGGTCATAAAAAAGAATGGATGTTTGGAGAATGTGTTATTGTGCTGTGGTGTGTTCAAGGTGTGATACACAAACACACACATACAGAGTGCACAACATCTCTCCTTTATACTTCTGTTTTATAAATACATAGTTCTAAGAATTAACAATTTCTAATTGGCTTAAAAGGTCAAAGACTCAGTAGTAAACATCTGTCAAGCCTCCTGGACCTCCGTTCTGGCCATCCAGAGCCATAGGGTGCTACTTCAAAAGATATTTTTCAGTCAACAGTAGCAGACATAGGCCCCAAGGGACCAACCTGCCCTCTTTGTGTATCATCATCAGAATAGACATTAGTTTTGAATTATTAGCATTTCCAATTCCCAAATGTCAAAAATTATGTGTTTTCGCATGCAAACTATGATGACTTTTGCTGATGTTTGTAACATTTCACAGGGCCAAAGATGATTAAGATTTCTGAAGTTTTACAAAACAGAGCTGCAAATGTCACAGAAAGCACAGCAAAGATGAAGGCTTAATCACCCTGAAAAAACCGTCTCTTGCTGAAGTACCCATAGAATCCCAGCTTGATCCAGACTGCACTGAGAGCACCTTACCCTGTCCATGAGCCATCCTGGAAATACAGAGCATGCCAGCCCCAAGTCTGGTTCTAGTGCCTGTTCTTATGCACAATTGTCTCCAAAATCTGCAGCAGCACAAGCCAAGGTGAGGGCAAAGCCCATTCTGAGGATGCCTTGGGGACCCTCCACGCCTGTTCTGAGTGCACGGGGACAGCAGGTTCTGCCACAGCAGCAGGCTGGTGAGTACCTGTGCCCTCAGCCTCGTGCTGTCCCTGTCCTGCACCTTCTGTGCCCTGAGCCCAGGAAATGTGACACTTTGGCGCTACCGGGGACACGGGGGTTTCTGCTTTGGCCGGACTCTGCAGCGTCTCCAGGCTGCCCCGGGCTCTGTCCAGCCCAGGCCACTCCAGCCTGGGGCAGCTCTCTCAGCAGCAGGAGAGCACAGCCTGGCTTGGTGCAGCTTCTCTTCAGCTCACGGTGCCAGGAGGTGTTTGGGGTGGGGCGAAGCCCCGCAGCTGCACCAGCACTGGGGCAGAGTGCAGGGACAGCACGGGGACAGAGGCCAGCCTGGGCACAGGTCACTGCAGGGTCCCTCAGCTTCATTGGCCACGGTTCTGGAGACAGCAAAAACCCAGGAAAACTGCAGAACTGGGAAAGGAAAACAAGAAACTCGAGGAGACAAAAGGAAAACAAGAAACCAGTGCAAAGCAGACATTTAAAATCACACTTGCTCCAAAACTGCCTGTTTCTTGTCAGCCGCTGGCACATTCAGACAACCAAAGTTATCCAGTACATAAACTTCTAAAGCTGCATCAGTTGAAATGCCGTATTTGTGTTTAGTTTCAGATTCATCCATTATGAGGAAAATAATTTTATTTCCCTTATCCTCCTCTCACTGTAAGTCAATTTCCTGAACTAAACAGCTGGGAAATAAAAATACAGGTAGCCAAAACAGAGCAAGTAACAAAAATTAACTTCCATGTGAACTCTAGAAAAGCCATAAGCTTATTCAGTATGGTCATAATTAGTGAAATGGCTGAGGAAAGAAGAGGTTTTGCAAAAACTCACACACTTCTGAAAGATTATATTGTAGCACCTGTGGATAACAAAAGTTGCATTTAATCTCTGCAGATATGTTGCATTAATGCTAGATATATTGCATTAATGCTATTGAACCTTCAATTCAATGTACAGAGAAATTTTATAAAGCTTCCAGTTCAGTCCTATCACTGTTGACAAGACCAACCACCGCAATTACAGTGTTTTGAAGTTAAATGCTTAGAATAATTTCATTATTAGAAATAATTTATTAAAAATAATAATAAAATTTATTTTATTAAAAATAATTTGTTCACTGAAAGACCAGGTAAAATTGCATCTCCTATGTAAGGAAATGCATGCTTACTACCATACTATTTTCTTTCTTTTGCAGAATTTCAGAAGAGTCACAAGGAGTGAGGAAGGATTATGGAAGAGTCTGGGAACTGCTTTCCTCAAGCCTCAAAAGATTCAGTATCCAACCTTTTTTTTTGTGCTGGGTAATACTGGTCTGGCTTCCTTGCAGCTTCCCTGCTTCTCATTTTATGAGGCACTTGGCAGTTGTGTGAATTATCTCTTTATTTTTGCAGTTTTGGTGTGTACTTAGCAAAATTAGATGGCCATTAAGTTTATAACACCACAATATACTTAGTCTGCGGATTGTAACTCTTACTATTGATTTCAATGAACAAGGAAATCTAGTGCAAGGAGGCTCAGAACTTTGTATTTCCTTATCTCAAAATGCCTACAAGTCTACCAGAATCCAAGTCATCTTTTAAAATTAGGTGTGATGGTCTGAATTTGAAACCCTGCCTCAGAAATTCCTAAGTTTCTGTAAGGGGATGTGTGGCTGCTGCAGAATTAAATCCAGCAAGCTCATACAGCCCTGGATTATTTTAAGATCGAGCTAATGAGACAATACAAGAACTTAGTTATGTTGTTTGTTGAACAAGCCTTTAAAACCAGGCAAGATTGGCACCATATAAGATAATAGCAAAGTTTCCTACCCATCTGAGTGCTGATGTTTTTGTGCAGAGTATGAAGCCATTGTTCTCCAATGGCTTAATAGTGGGAAAAAATATGCACTTTTGGACCTATGTAATTATTATTTCTTACACATCTTCCTTACACTTTGAAGAAAAAAAAAAAGACATTTCCTGAGGATAGCATTTAATGTCAGTCACCAGCAACCACTGATGTCTCCAAGACTAGCAATTCAAACTCTGCAGAAATAAACCAAACAGCTCTGTCACAGAAACACTTAAAATAGTTTTTTCTCTAATTTTAAACCAATGAAAGCCTTATATCAGTGTGAGTTTGGGTCATCCCAATGGGAACATATTCATCTGCACTCTACAATTATGCATCAGACAACCAAAGCAAATACATAACAAGTCACATAAACTGACAAAAAACTAAATCACAAAAACTGCTTTTTTTCAAACTTGTTTAGAAATGGTTTGCACCTTCATATATTTGTTTTGGCCCTGAAATGTATGCAATAACAATATTCCATTTTAAACCCACTCTAGTCAAGAAAGGAACTGTTAATGTATCACAGTGACGACTGAGCAATTACCTCTTGGTTAATCCCAAATTTATGGTAATGAGTTTGTAAAAAATATTGTCCAAAATAATTTCTAAATAATAGTCACAACACAGCTGGCCATAAGTTCAGCTGTGCTTATTCTCCATTCTGTATTTGATCCCTCACTGTTATTTGAATTTCTCTGTTAATCCCCAGCTCAATGGTGGCTGAAGGATCTAGTGTGCACAGTTTGAAGAATCAATTTATAAGGTGATATAACTTGCTAATTTCTGCATTTTTGGCTTATGACTATAAATGCTACATGGGGAATTTTTTTCCTGCATAAAAACATTTCTGTGCTTGTTCTTTCTATTGAAGTTTATGTCATCTTGTTCATAAAATGACTCTCATGTCAAAAAGCCTGCTGGCTTTAGTTAATTTTTCTTCCATTAAAATTGCTTCCAAACTTCATTAGAGTGATATTTGTTGTGCACATCAACAGCAAATTATTTTAATAATTCAGTTAAGATTTTGCATTGTCTATTTATATTCTTCAATACTTCCTCAATATTAAAGAAAGAAGATTCAATGCTGTCATTACTCTGTCTATCCTGGAATAATTGTCACTCAAATGCTTTGTCAGCTCAGAGACAGATTTACTGAGTTCAGCTAAACTAGAAACTATTCAATCCGCAAACATTAATCCTCTTTATTCAACAAGGGGTTTAGAATGAAACATAAATACTCTGGTTCAAAAAATTGTGTATGGAGTCCAAGTATGACAGAGCACATCGCAGACCATTAGAGTAATTATTTAAAAGGCAAAAATCAAAGTGCAGTGGTGAAGCTTTATCTGCCTGGGCCCCTGCACAGCACAGAAGCACAGAATGGTTCAGGTTAAGAGAGATGTCTAGTGGTTCCTGTAGTAAGGTCCACCTAGAGCAGACTACCAGGGATTCTGCCCAGTGGATATTCTGCAAGGATGGATCTTCACCACCTCTCTGGGGAGCTTGTTCCAGTGTTGATCACCCTTGAGGTGAAAAGAACTTTCAGTGTATTCTGGTGGGATTTCCCATTTTTTTGATGAATGGAAATTGCCTGTAAGATCCTGGCTCAGCTTTCTCTCTGTCATCCCATGTTTGCCTTTCTTAGTCTCAGGAAATTGCTCTAACCTCCAGACATTCCAAAGACCTTCCAAGAACACAATCCACCCCTCAGCACTCTCAGATGGCTGTAACTCAGCCTTGCTATCCCTGCATCTCTTGGTAAACCGTCTTGGCTCTCCTCTGGGCAGCAGGCACAGCTGCATTGCCCAAAGAGCCTGTGTCCATCCGTGGCAGCACTGCAGGCAAGCCAGAGCTCCACGTTTCTGTAATCAGAGCTCTGCAACTCTGCACAGGTTCCCAGTTCCCCTTGTTTGCTCCTTGCATTGCATGCATTTGTGTGCAGGCATTTTGAAATGTCCTCCTGTCACCGCTGCTCCTCAAGGGAAGCTGCACAAGCTGCCCTCCCTGGCTGTCTCCCAGCTGTGTCTCTTCTTCTGTCATGCCAGTGGGATGGCTGACTTTATTCTGGTCTCTAAATCAGGAAGTTTGTCTCCCTTCTCTTTCCAAGATGTATAAGGCTTCTAAATTAATGAGTTGTACAAGGTGCTGTGGAGGAGAGCAGATTCAGAGTAAACTGATAGTCTGCTGCTGCTCCCTATGGAATTGGAAGCTTTTGTGTACCTAATTCAGTCCAAAGGATGCCCTTTTATTCCAGCTTTGTTCAAGACACTTTCTCACTTTGCTTCTTCCTAATTATCATCTGCCTCTGAAGTTTAGATCTCTGCCCAGTTTTGCCTCTTTCTTGCAAGTGGGACAGCTAAGAGGGACAGGATTTTTCTGACAAAGATGAGCTACTTCAACTCATCTCAGTTGCCTGCTATCGTAATCTCCCAGTTTCCTTAAATCAGCCACTCCAAGTGAAGAGACTAAAATGCTTACAGATACAGAATAAAGAAGAAAAGAGCCCTGCACACAGAACAATGGTACAAAGAAAATAGATTGATACGTTAAAAAAAAAAAAAAAAAGCATCAACTCAGCCTATAGAGCCAGGCAGAAATCAGCAAGAGGTAAGCAAAATGTATTTCAGAACCAAAATGACAAAAAGGCAGAGCAAAATGTGGTTCTCAATCTGTACATTCAAGGCAGCTTTACTTAAATAAAAGGAAAGTATTTATTTGTACTTTGTTGTCACCACTGTGTCAAAATAAACTGATCTTAGCCTTCATGTTCAGCACCACATTAATCTAATTTATTTGTTAATTTCTGTGTAGTACCCAACACATGATGCAGTTTAAGATGTCATTGAAATAGAAAACTCAACTGCCACACAGTTTTTTATATAAATTGTCAGTGTGGCAGTGCATCCTGCTCTTTTCCTGGGAGTCAAACACAGATGCACTTCTTTTCTTTGCTGTTGATCAATTAAAATCGCCAGCACTGCTGGCAACCTTGGAAGTGTTATTTCTCTTCCTAAGCTTCATGAACTTGATTCACCCATTTGTTTAAAGGTACAACAAGCTAACAATGTGAATGTTTTTGTTATAAGTACATAAAAATACTCAAGAAACAGTCCCTGCTCTTGAAAACTACTGCAAAGAATGGTACCTGCTAAAGAGCTACTGCCTCAAGCTCTTCAAGTAGAAGGGAGTATAAATCCATGTGAAATTCTTTAATTGCTAGAACAATCTAAACTTTTCAGCTTGCTAATTAGTTCAACTCATACTGTCTAAGGCATAACACCTGGGGCTTGTTACAGGTGAATTTTAAAGGTGTATCAAGTCTGTGCAAACAAGCCATAAAGTTGTGCTGCTTTTCCCCACATGTAGGAAGTAATTTTTATAGCACATTTTGTTGTTACCCACATTTGATTCAAATCATTAACCCAGCCTTCTAAATAATATTGGCAGAACAGGGAGAAGCGCTGTGTGATGGAGGTCAGACATCAATGCAGACTAGTGGACACATAATGCAACCTGCATATTCTAATTTTTGATATTTATGACAAGAACATATCAGCAATTCAGAAGCCTCACCCTTCTCTCACAGGCAAAGCTCTGATACTAAAGGAATTGTCCATGATTGTGCTCCTTTTTCTTTTTGTAACCTTGCAATAGAAATATAGAAATACTGTTTTAAGGGTATCTTTCAGAAAGTTACAGAAGAATGACTGTCCCATTTCATTATGCCCTGAGATCCTCATTATTATTCAGAATATTTAAGACAATCATAAAAAAAAAGTATTGTTTAAAAGCTCCTAAAAGTTTCTATAATTGGCAGTCCTGGTCTAGCACAGCCAAGCAATACTATCAATTCATTCATGCCATACACACGCTCATATGTAACAACCTGTGGCACAGGCATCACAGTTACCACTTCCCCATTTCTAAGGGGAATATTGTCTGATTTTTGAAATGCATAGCAACTTAGTTTTCCAAAATCCTCCCTGTGTTCCATTGTCTTGTGGTAACAGTCCATTGTCAAGTCATACATGTTGAAACTTTTGAACCGAACTTGTGGTGGCTGCGCATTTGCTGTTTACTGCCGGGTGCTGTCTGCAAGCCAGTTCTGCTCCATCCCAAACAGACAAGCAGATTCAGCCTAACATCTCCCCTTACCATGCACAGCTCTCACTAGAAGCAGTTGTTCAGGCACAGTCACATCAAACCTGGCAGCCTGGCCAGATGTACTTGAGCAACCATGACCTACACACCAAGTTCCAAAGCCTCCTCCTTCATGGGGCTCTGTCACAGCCACGCTGCCTGTAACAGACCTGCAGTGAGGCACTATGGAGCAGCCAGGATCCTTGTCTCACAGTTGCATGGATGCAGCAGGGAGGACACACATGCACCCAGAGTCAAGCACATGGTACCTATCTTTCTCAAAGCTGATTATTCTGATGTGGTCTAACAGGAGCTTTAGCAAAACCGTATCCTTTTCAAAGGCTCCCTTGCTGCGTGAAAGTCAACAGATGAGGCAGTGGAACAGCATTTGGAAGGACTGAGAAGACAGGCAGGAAGATTATTCTCTCCCTGCTCTGGCACAAACACACAGTAGTCACCAAATGGAACCTCCTGTAAGCTCAGTTCTTTGGAGAAAATAGTTGAGCAGCAGGGAAAGCCAGAAAGGATGAGTCAGGAATTTATCATTCTGGCTATGAAATAAACTGGGAAGGAAGCATACGCCAGTGCCACCAACCTAGCATGAACTAGCTGGTGGAAAACAGACATCAGCAGGAAAAGATGACATTTTAAAGATACTTTGAAAGATAATTTTCAGTTACAATAGTGATCCACGGCACTGAGAAATTATACCAGTCAGATGACTGGTGATGAGCACCACATGATGGAGTGAAGCTGTTTGACAACAACTGTCAGCACAAGCACAAAAAAACCCACCAGCTACATCCACAACAGTCCCATTCAGCATATTAATGAGGGAGCTGGGACAATCTTTCAAAGCATCCTGCAAGACTGAGGTCAAGTGACAAGTGATTTCATTTCAAGCTAAACACCTTTGTAATAATTCATTAGCTGGTACTTTTTTGTTGCATTCCTTTAGAAAACAAATCAATTTCTTACTAAGAAAAGCAATCTAATGTAACCATACACTGCACTTTGGTCTGAACTTGGACAAATATGCTCCTAAAGGAAAATAATTTCTATCTAGGATAAAGGGGGGGGGTTTCACTTTAACCTCAAAGTCCTCTTTAGAAATCTACTTTTATTATTTTAATCAAATTCATTCACCTCACTTACTACAACATGAATCTAATCACTGGCTCTGCAAGTTTAGTACCCAGAGACACTACAGAAGTTTTAAGAGCTGTTGGAAAAATGTTGCAGCCTCTGACTTTTTTTAATGGAGTTACTGCAGCCAAGCTTTGCTGTAAATTGATGATGTCGCTGGATTAGATGTTAATATGTAGCTTGATATATTATTCATGAGAATGAGTCACAGGCCTAATTAGAAACATGACAAGAAAAGCTTCTGAGTCCACAATCTGGATTCTCCCTGATGTGAAAGAGTTGGCATGACATTTTCACTTACTGAGAGAAAAGAGACAAATTTCACATATAAGCACAAAAATATAATGCTGGAGATGCAGAACTGCCTTCCTGAGAGTCTGGGAAAAAACAGAAGTAGCCAGTTTGATAGAAAAGAAAGCCTTCAAAAATGTGATTTACCCTTTGATGGAGCATCTATCTGCTTACAAAACATCCATTCCATGTACCTTTCCAGTCACAGACATTCCACAGAGGCTTTGTGGCCCTCTGCCAGGTGATCATGTCTGCCTCCAATAAGGTGGCACAGGAACATGTCCCATCAAGGTACGTAGGCCTGGTAAGTGGAATTTGGATAGAAATCACTATTGTTATTGGGTTTTTTTTACACATTTGGGTGAATTATTCCTTATCTCATTACCTAAAAAT